CTCTCTCGCGCGCGCACACACACACACACACACACACACACACATACTTGCGCAAGGTTTAAAAATCCATTTTCTCGTTTTTTTTTTTTTTTTTTTCCGATTGATTGATTGATATAGGGACAGGGCGTATCAGTTGTTTTTCTGTTTTTGGTGAGTAGTGGTAGGGTGCATTTGAACTGATTAGGTGCTGTTTGTTTTGCCTTGTTTGGGATTCGAACCCCCGACGATTGCTTGTGTTTGCTTTTCTGATTTTTTTCGATTTTATGATTTTTTTGGCAACTGCCACGGGTTTCGATCCCCTGACATTGTGCTCCGACAGTTTGTCTTGTTTTTCTTGTTTTCTGGCTCTCCGTTTTTGGTGGCCCTGGCCAGGGGGACCAGAACCTTCTAGACTTGGTATGAATTAGTAGGGACTGTTTTGTGTGATGGTTTCCGAGACAGTAGTACTGGACGCCAGGACCATGGTTACTACTGGGTGACACGTTGTTGTGAAGCGCTTAATTTTGTTTTCTGAGTCACTGTTGACTGGCTCGGTAAGGCTGGCTTTGTCGTACAGTAGGTAGGCTGCCTATATAACCAATGATTGTCTCGTTGACGGTCCGTTTTGGGTCCGACGTTCAGTCTGCCTGTTGGCGTTTTTCGGAGATGTCGTCGGTAGACGACAGAGGAGGGAAGTGGAAGGAGTGGTGAATTGTCAAGGGTTGAGGCTAGGTGGTCTCCCCTTGAGGAAGGCCGCGTGGTGGCGGCCGAAACCAGTCGGGGTGCCATACCCACAGGCATGCCAATCGACTTTGTGTTGCATTGGGGGTGCCATACCCACCGGCGTGACAATCGACTTTGTGTTGCATTGGACTGTGATCATTTTTCCATTGCGATTTTGCTTTGGTTTCTCCATCATAATTCTGCAGTGGACTATATTGGCCTTTCCTTTGTAATTGTTGTTCTCTTTTGAGATCTTGTCAAACTATTGAACAACTGTTTAAGGCCCATGTGAAGCAGTTCGGAAGCTGCCGAGCACGAGTGAGCATGTTGAAGCGATCTACTGTTACTACTGTTACTATTCTTACTATTGTTACTATTGTACTGATTGATGCTACTGCTGTTGTCTTACGGGGTTCTGTCCTTCTCAAAGATAACCGAGTCAAGAGTGTGGAATATCCTTTGAAGTTAGCCAGATGTCTGGATTGGGATATCGTGATCATCGGGAGTATCGCCGCAGTAGTGAGCGCGAATGGAACCAAGATGGAGGGAGATACAGTGGATGGGACGGAGGACGCGAGAGAGGACGGGACGCGCGATGGGAGCGTTACACTGATGAAGACCGACAACCTCCAGATAGGGGTTATGCCCATCGAGAGGGGCCCTGACGTCAGCCGGTTACTTGTTACGAATGTGGGGCGCTGGGACACTATCGTAATCAGTGCCCCAAGCTTGTTGGTGAAACAAGTTCGCAGCGGAGAAGATCGTCATCACTAGGGCACCTGGTAAGAGGAATCGAGAAGCGATCATTGTCGGAAGAACCAACCATCAAGAAATAGTTGGAGGAGTTGACGACATCCATAGCAAGCATGAAGAGTTTTATTGATGCTGAGCGGGAACGTAAGAACGAAGAAGAGCGACTGAAGAAAGAAAAGGAGAAGCAGGAGCAGGAGATTGCCGAACAACGTAAACGAGAGGAGATGGAGCAACAAGCGAGGGAGCGAAGATCCAAAAAGAAGGAGGAGAGGAAGAGGAAAGAAGCATAGGCTAGAGCAACCATGCTTAAGGAGATGCGCATGGAGATGAAGCTGCACATAAACGCCATGAGCGAAGGAGTGCATGATCGGCTGTTGCAGGCGATGATTTCAGAGGAGGCGAAAGGGAAGACGAAGGTGTCAGACAATGCCTCGGATGACTCCGCTTACAGTTCTGGTGACAGCGAGATTGAAGCTTTGAGCGGTGAAGCCGAGCGATTGATCATCCAAGAGAAACGCAAGCGAGGCGCTGACGAACCCGTAGGTGATAGCCCGCTTGTGACGACGCCTGCGAAGATATCTGCCAAGAGGGTCGGTATGGACCCTAAGAAGCTTATGTTGAGCTGCCGCCACCCACCAATGAAGAAACAGTCCCCTAGGAAGTGGACACCGGCAACGGCCTCGTTGACTAGGAGACGGAAGATCCCAGCATCACCTGGTGCGACGGGGAAGCTGAAATATGTTCAGGACAACTTGCGTGAACTAGGCGCGCTTAACATCGAGGAACTGAGGATGATCTGCTGCGGTGAGAATGTCAATTGCGAAGGGAAGAAAATGGACATCATTCTTGCTATTACGGAAAAATGCGCACATACCGCCTATGGTACGGACGAGGATGAAGGTGCTAAGAAGATGTGGAAGCCGTGGACGATGATAATAAATCGGCCAACGAGTCAGAGGACGATAAAGAGAAAGACACGTGAACAAACAGCGACTACTGGAGGCTTTGCAGAACGTTGGTGATAGAGAGAAGGAGAGGATCGTACGATGACGCAGTGGAAATTGTCTATTGTCTTATTGTTGTGATACTGGCACTAAGGAATCAGATCAGATGGCTTGCGAAGTGTGTGGACACATGGCTTAGGTTGTATTAGAAAAACAGGGCGCGCATGTTCTATGGTGTCACCGGTGGTGTCTATCTTCTTACTTCACCTACTTGTCGAGCGCAATATGCGGGTCAGACACGTAGGAGCTGTAAAAGAAGGTGGAAGGAACATATGTCGAATTGCAAAAGTGGTAGCCGCCAGACACACCTATATCGTTGGTGGCAAGTCTTTGGAGCAGAATCCTACGTCTTGCTGCCACTCGAAGAATGCGCCACTCATGAGTTGTCATCCTTGGAGCAGTTATACATACGACGATGGAGCCCGGTGCTTAACACTTTGGGGAAGATCCGTAAAGGGAGAGGCAAGAAATAGAGACCTGGTAAGCGGGAGAGAGACAGAAGGGCAACTACCACGCACCAAGATGAGTATCGGGGGGATGTATTGAACCCAGTACGGGTTATACTATCTAGTAGCGTGGACTGGAGAGTGGACATCTTCTAGCTGTTGGAGGAGCAGGAGAGGGAGAATCGATTGAAGTTCGAGATAACTACGAAGAAAGGAAATAGCTGGTGCAGGCGTTGGAAGTTTGTGAAAGCAGCCTTCGGGAATACTGATGTACGAGTGCCAGGGCAGCGCTTGAAATTGCATGCCTGCAATCATTTTTTCGAAGCCGGTACGCACATCGAGATCCTGCAGTTGAGGCGATGGCGGCCGAAGGTAGGCCCTGACAAGCGTCTTCTTCAAAAACTCTTCCGCAATCCGCAACGCATGCAGCTGCTTAACCGATGCAACCTGGAAACTCTGGTACGAATGATGTGCACAGCATGTGACTTCCAGCAAGCAGCTAGCACAACTTACTTTAGGCGTTTGATTTCACGATCGATTCTAGATTTGTACGGATGAAAGATAAATGCCAGGATGATCATACGTATTTGATTCGATGATAGGATTCGGATGGTGGAGGTAAGGAAGTGAGTCAACGATAGGATTGAAGGGCTACCTATTCCAAGTTGTGTCAAGGATCATGCACGGAGCACTGTTCGAATTGTATGGACAAAAAATTCGTCGGTTGCTAGCATGCTGCACAACCAGCGACGCTTTGCGAAAGCTGTTGTGTCCACCTGCGTTTGCGCAGGTTTACCCTACCACCGGGTAGGAGCACATGTGCTGTTCCGACTTCAGGACCTGGAAGGAGTACACCCTTTAATCTGTAATGCGCATAATATCCCGAAGTCATCTTTACCTGACCGAGGGATTCTTTTGGTACGTGAGATCTCTGAGGGAATTCAGGCCTGGGCTAATTTTAGAGGTTCGGAACCGAGTATCACCAAATCTGAGGTTGAGGGCTGTTTACTAAGAACAGAGTTTGAGAAGATGGATTTTCTGAACCCAAAGGTGGTTCAGGACCTACGAGAGAGACTCGAAGGGCTGGTGTTGACACCATTGGACAGGAACCCAGGGGAAACCCTGGTTCTATGTCCAAAAGTGTATTTTGATGGACTAATGGGTAGTTTGTGATGTCGCAAGGGTACGCCATCATGGAATCGAGCGAAGTGGATGTGATGCAACAGATGCGAGAAGATGCGAAGGGAGCAGATCTGACAAATTTCGTAAGATGGGACAAGAAGGGTAAGTTCGGAGAGTCTTATATCCTTCCGAAACACAAGGACCTGTCTAGGTATCGGCCGATATGCCCGACCTTCTCTGAGCCGACTGTACGGACGTGCAAGGTAACTGCTAAAGACCTAAATCACCTATTGGGGACGCTGCCCATCGACTGGCATTTCAATCTCAAGTCTGTCACGGACCTCGTGCCACGATTGGAGCGATGCAATAAGAAGATTGGTAGGATGTGGCAGGGAAATTGTGAAATCATATCCTTGTCATACGACATAAAGGATATGTTCAGTAAGCTGCCGCATGGAGAGATCATCGCAGCAGTCGATTGGGCTGTCGACTTCCATATGAGCAAGGGCAGATCACAGGTGAGGGTCAACATGAGGGGCAGGGGATGTACCTTCGGAAAAAGGATGGGTGATGAGCAATGGAGGACGGTGGAGCTTGAGCAAGTGCGACGTTTCGTCCGATGGGAATTAAAGCATACTTACACGAAGGTTACAGGAGTAGTGCTCAAACAAGTGGTGGGTATCATGACCACTTGCATGCCTGATGTGTGCTTTTGCAAAATACCGCTTCTTGGAGCAACTCGGAAGCCTGCGCAGGAATGTTTTTGGTATCCGACTGATGGATGATGTGAGTGTTGTTATCCACAACGGAGAAAGAAAACCTATACCTGTCCAGAGAATCCAGGAGAACTTCGAGAGTTGTTACCCCAACAATCTCACGCTGAAACGAACGGATGATGGGCAGGGGCAATGGGATTTTCTTGGTACTATTACGAGTGTTAGTGATGTCTACCCGTATCTTAGATGTGTCCAGTCGTCTAGGAATGAGACGTCTATGTGGGAGGCGAACGAGCTGGAGTTTAAGAATGGACAATCCTATCTGTTATGGTGTGGTAAAGAACATAAGAGTGCAGCAATTGGAAGCTGCCTCCACCGTATTGATAGGAACACTAATGATCGTCATGTTATTCCCATGAGAGTCTTGAGTCTGCAACGGGAGATGAGAATCAAGAAATTTCCCTCTGAGTCTCTGAAACGGATTCTTAAACAATTCGCCAAAGAACATGATGAAATTTGGGCTTGGACCTATCGATGGTTGTTCTGTGATGAGTAGTGCGAACAGGGTTACAGTGTTAGTCCAGGGAGTTTGCTATTTTTCGGAGCGTATGGTGCCGTTTGCACGTTCTCGGGATGTAGGGACAGGGCGTATCAGTTGTTTTTCTGTTTTTGGTGAGTAGTGACAGGGTGCATTTGAACTGATTAGGTGCTGTTTGTTTTGCCTTGTTTGGGATTCGAACCCCTGACGATTGCTTGTGTTTGCTTTTCTGATTTTTTTCGATTTTATGATTTTTTCGACTTGTTGATTTTTTTGGCAACTGCGATGGGTTTCGATCCCCTGACATTGTGCTCCGACAGTTTGTCTTGTTTTTCTTGCTTTCTGGCTCTCCGTCTTTGGTATGAATCAGTAGGGACTGTTTTGTGTGATGGTTTCCGAGACAGTAGTACTGGACGCCAGGACCATGGTTACTACTGGCTTTGTCGTACAGTAGGTAGGCTGCCTATATTACCAATGATTGTCTCGTTGACGGTCCTTTTTGGGTCCGACGTTCAGTCTGCCTGTCGACGTTTTTCGGAGATGTCTCCGGTAGACGACGGAGGAGGGAAGTGGAAGGAGTGGCGAATAGTCAAGGGTTGAGGCTAGGTGGTTTCCCCCTGAGGAAGGCTGCGTGGCGGCGGCCGAAACTGGTCAGGGTGCCATACCCACCGGCGTGACAATCGACTTTGTGTTGCATTGGGGGTGCCATACCCACCGGCGTGACAATCGACTTTGTGTTGCATTGGGGGNTGGGGGTGCCATACCCACCGGCGTGACAATCGACTTTGTGTTGCATTGGGGGTGCCATACCCACCGGCGTGACAATCGACTTTGTGTTGCATTGGACTGTGATCATTTTTCCATTGTGATTTTGCTTTGGTTTCTCCATCGATATTCTGCATTGGACTATATTGGCCTTTCCTTTGTAATTACTGTTCTCTTTTGAGATCTTGTCAAACTATTGAACAACTGAACAACAACTGATTGATTGATTGATTGATTGATTGTTGGGGGAGGGGTCGCCCACCCAACCCCCGCCCGATCACACACACACACACACACACACACACAAACACACACACACATACACACACACACACACACACACACACATACTTCCGTTTTTTCTCATTTTTTTTCCCTTTTTTCGATTGATTAATTGATTGATTGATTGATTGATTGATTGATTGATTGATTGATTGCTGGGGGAGGGGTCGCCCCCCCCAACCCCGCCCGATCA